CAGGCCATCCCCAGTGATTAATTTGGAGAAGGCTTTGTTGATCCTGCGCCAGGAGCCATCTGCATCCAAGCCTGCGAAGCTCAAGAAGGACAGGTGTCCAGAGCAGACATTCCACGGGCCTTGTTTGTCTTTTTTCTTTTTCTTTTTTTAAACCAATGAAGCTTCGAACAGCGCGGCTGTGGAAGTTACATTTGTGTTGGGCATGATTGGCATCGCATGCTTAAGACACACGCACAAATTGCGTTCTGCCATCCTGTCCTCCTTTTCCAATTCCTCTTCGCCCTTCCCTTTCCACCCCTAGTTCCCTCTCCACCGCCTATTGACTTGTCCCCTTGCCCTTCCTTTTTTATTCTGTAATGTTCATTTTCTTTGGAGGCCAAAGACAGGCTCTTGAGGGCCTGACTGGCGTCTGGATCTCCAGATGTGCAGGATGTGGACAGTCCGCTGACCGAAGGCTCCGTCATCATTTTCCCCCTCCGCACCAAGTTGAAGACAGACGCTGGTGGCAAGACATTTCAGGTAATACGGAGTGGTTTTGCTACATATGTGCTTGCAAGTGAGGGGTTGGTTGAAGCCTCCCTTTTTTTTGTGAGAAGTGATGGATGGCGAGGTTTGGAAGTTGAGCATGTGCAACAAACTGGCTGAGCTTTGCAGGGGGAGTCTTGGGGATGATTAGCGCGGGGCCTGTTTAGAAATGATTGACGATGAAGTGGTTCACCTCATTGACGATACACATGGCCCTTGGAGTTTGTGGGCTATCCCGCCGGCGGGTGTACAGCGCGCCGGATGTTTGCGACACCAATGTTGGTTCTCTTGACTCACTGCCCAACGGATACGAAAGAAGAACGGCGAATTGAACCCCTGGCCACACTGGCCTCATCTGGACCAATTTTGATTTCACAGCGGGGAATGTGGTTGTGCAAAGCTAATCTCTCATGATATCAATGGAACCCCTTTTCAGCCGACTTTGGTACAGAAAGGTCATTTTCCACAACCATGGTAGGGAAGTCTGGAAACCCGTCTTCACTGTGCCCAGGAAGAAGGCCAAGCCAAGATCGCGGTGTTCACTTCCAAAGGGGAGCCCGAGATCCAGGCGACTGTCTTCATTTTAGTTCATGCAATTGCTTTTCTTTTCTTTTTTTGGGGGGGGAGAGAAATGGAGGCAACTTTGCACAACTTCTTTCGGGTATGAATAAATTTTACTTTGCACCCTTCGGTGGACCTAGAATTGCATGGGGATTTGTGGCCAAAAACCATTTTTGAGGGTGTGCCAAACATCAAGCGTAGTGTGCCAAATTGACCATCCCTTGCTTTTTCCTCAGCAAACCGTTGAGCACTCATATATATATATATATTGTATATATATATATATATATATATGTACATGCATATATGAAAAAAAGAAACTAACATATATATATATATATATATACAAATATATATATATACATACTATATATATATATACATACTATATACACATTTCAGAGGTCTGACATTTGCCAGGCGGACGCACCCACTCCGCCGGTGCCTGTGCCGGCACCGCCCCCGCCGCCAATTCCGGAGGAGGCGGTTGACGGGGGTGGGGGGGTGGGGGGGTGCAGGTCGCTGACCGGTTGAAACGAGTTGGAGCTGAAAGATGTGGCAAGGGGGTCCCATTTTGGGGTAGGTGAATTCACCACGCATTTTAGAACCTGTTTTAGTGGTTGGATTGGGATGTTCACTGGGGGTGCCATTTGGATGACCCATGGCCATGTCACTCCTGAGAGTTTTGACCTGGACACTGCCAGCCTTGTTGTTGGGTTCCATGTTAGTTTGTATGCTTCTCAAATTTAGGGACCCCTCCAGGTGGGGGTTCCTTGGTTTCTCCTTAACACCATCCAAAGCAACACCCCCTAGTTTGAGATACCCGTATAGTCGTTGTGTTGGTAAACAATTGCCTGTCCCACGAGAGAGTGGTTTGGGGGTGGCGGAAGCCAACTTGGAGCTTAGCTGGCTGCATGTGAATATGAGCAGGCCATGGATGACCATTTGACCAAGGAACTGAGCAAGTTTGAAGTTGTCCAGCTTTGCTTGAGTAATCTTTCGGTTTTCCTTTTTGGATATGTTTTTGTCTTTTTTCCGAGGCTACCCTTTGACTGGAGATTGAAGGAAGCGAATTCAAATGGACAACTGCCATTTTGAAAATCCTTGGATTTTAAGACACGCCCTGTGGATTACTAGCTATCAATCCGCAAGCTTGTTCCATTCGGGGCGAACCTCACCCTCTCACGTTGGCGTGGCTGAGAGAAGGATGGTTTGGGTACCTTCCCTCACCTCGCATGGCTCGCAAGGAAGGGACGGTGGATGCGGGGGTAATGCAAGGGGCTGAATTTTTACTAACTTACGTTCTCTTACCAGGGGTTTAGTTTGTTTTCTTTCTGGCGTACCCGAAACTATTTTTGGCTTGCTCATGAATCCCTCATCTCCGGCCGTTAGATCCGAGGTTTATCTTCCAACGATCCCCTTTTCCGCCTGCCCAACGGACGGAAATAAAATGAGATTAATTTGTTCATGTTAACCCCATATTAACCAACCCCAGGTTATTAAGAGGGGGTGTTCCCCTCCAAAAGTCATGGCTTCCCGCTGAACCCAGGGACACCCCCCTATTAAAAAAAACTGGGGTGAATCAATATGGGGTCAACATTTCCCTGGAAAGGGGGAACCGGGGGGAACCTCGATGAATTTCTTCGAAGGTGCCTGTGCCCCCGGAGCCCAGGCGCGGAATCGGTTCCGGATCGAAGCTGCTGGTTATGTCTTTGTTAGGGAGCAGAAGGAAGGGGCTTACAGCTTTCTGGCGTCGTTAGGCCCGATTTTGTGCAGATCCTTTCTGGGTGTGCCTTGTTTAGGGGACCCAAAATGGACTTGGCTTGTTTCTCTTATTGTTGTTTTGGTTTACACTTCCCCCCAACTTTTGGGAAAGGCCTATTTCAGTTTCGTAGCGAGTTGTGGTTGGATTCTGTCTCACCACCCGTCTTCCGAAATACTGTATTTGCACACGGGTTAATCGTGGTATGTTTGAAGTGTCGTCTGCCTGTAATTCGCACTTCGCAACTTGGGGTCACATTTTTTTAATTGCAGGCTGTTGCATGGCACCCGCTGGGGAATTGCACATGCTTGGACACTTCTAGCCGCTTGTCATTTGGACTATTGCATGTGCATGCATCTTCCTGGATGTCATCCCAAGTTGTTCATTGAAGAAAACATGTTGTTTGTGATTCGTTCAGAAACTATCAGGGGATGATGGATCATGTTTTTTTGTCCTAAGCCCCCATTTTGCACCCTTGCCCAGTCTGCCCCGTAAACAGATGGAAGCACGCAGTTGTCCATTCCAAACGGGCAGTCTCCAAAGGAGGTTTGACTGTCATGCTCGCTTGTGTCAAAGGCAAATAGCTAAGCGCCCTTCGGGATGTGCTGTAATCATACATCCCCAATGCACCCCGTGATGCGGGGCTGGTGTGTGACCATCAGCTGTTCGACCATGTCAACATAATTGTGCGTTAGTAAAATTGATTTCACAATAAAACAAGGACACATGCAAAAATGCGCGTCTTTGAGTGCACAAATCTATGTTCTGATGTTTGCGACACTCAAAAGAGCACTCTCTCACACACTCACACAAGTCCACTCCTGGTCGAGCACCCCTCGGTCCTTGCATCAACTAACAGGGATTCTCCCCTGTCCTTGACTGCCGTGGTTTAAGCATCACCTTTCGAGCCTTCTCAACGTGATATTCCTCGCGACGTTCCGAGAGGACAGTTGTGGGTATGGGTCAAAATGAAGCACCAGGAATGGGACCGCAGGAAATAGTCCTTGGTTCCATTTGCTAGGGTTCAATTTTTGGGGGTTTCCCTTTTTTTGACCCACAGCCATGTGATGGGCCAGGGTTCAGACTTTGCCGGGGGCCGACGAGATCTTGCAGCTCGAGAAGCTGGATCTCTCGATGGCGAAGGCTGGAGTTAGTGAGATAGACCCCTGGTCAGTCACAAGCGCCTGGCCATGAGAAGCATTACTAGTGCTCATCAAACTTGGCTAAGGCGGTCATTGAGACAGACCCATTTGTCACAACACAACCTGGCCATGGGAAGCATTACTCTTAGTTCTACCAGTCCAAAAGGAAGCCACTGCTGATGCTTGAAACAACACACAGAACACAACTTGCCATTGTGAAGAGATATATGGACGTCGCCTGTTTGATTTGCTTGCCTTGTTTCGCGTGGCGTGGTGTTTCTGACTTTCAGGATTCGCGGGTTTACTTCAATGTCATCCAAGGCCAATGTCGCCGCAATGTGAGGTTTGCACATAACCCCTTCGTCCTTTCACCAATGCAAAGGGCCTTTCAAGCTTCACCCCACTTGAACAACTTTCTTTGGCTCGGCTACAGAATGGTCTAGAAACGAAGCCACAAGTGGAAGGGTAATTAGTTTATTTATATATAGATTTAATGTTTACATATTATTTTAATGTATACATGTGTTTTTATTTATGTACATCTAAATATATACATGATTTTTGCCAGAGCCCTCCCCCCCCAGCTGGATTTCCCCGTATACTCTGGGCACACCTGGGCGCATTGGGCGCAGGAAGCCGAGACGCCGCCAAAGGCGGAGGTCAGGCAGGAGGCCAGGCGCCCAGTGAAGTGCCAAGGTGAGTGACAGACGCATAGGCGTCCTTTTTGGGTTATTTTGGCTAGAAATAGATGGCACTGGTTTAGGTGGGTTTCATTCCATTTACCAGGGCGTTCTATTTTCCCAACAGGACACCTATGGACAGACGTGTTTTGTGTTCACTGCTGCACTGGGAGCGGGAGTTGGCTGGGGAGAACTTAGTGACCCTGTTACGGGGTATGCGGAGGGGGAGCCAACCGAATGCCCCCCTGACGCCTGTTAAGAGGTTTGACGAATGGTTTGAGATCGCCTGATTGATGAGTGGCATTTTCTTTTGGACGCGTGAAGTGACCTGTGGGGAGATCCTGTATATATTTTTCACGAGAGGCAAGCCTCTGTTTGACGTTGGATGCTCCAAAGAATGATGCTGGCGATGCCGCGCAGCACCCCGCAATGACCCTGCAGGCTGGCAACCTCATGCTGAATTGGCAGCAGGGCATAACCAGCATCACTCGCATCATTGCTTTGCAGCATCTAGGCTTGACATCCTGCAGGCAGGTTGGAAACCTGCAGGATTTCCAGCCCAGATGCTGCCATGCCCGCGCAGCACCCCGCAATGACCCTGCAGGTTGGCAACCTGCAGAATTTCAAGCCGAGATGCTGCCAAGCAAATCGTGCGAATGATGCTGGTGATGCCCGCGCGGCACCTTGCAATGACCCTGCAGGTTGTGCCAATGATGCTGGACCATGCAATGGTCAAGCCTAGATGCTGCCCAGCAATCATTCGAATGATGCTGGTTATGCCCGCGCAGCAGGTCGCAACGACCTGGCAGGTTGGCAAACTGCAGGATGTCAAGCCTAGATGCTTCCGAGCAATCATGCGAATGATGCTGGCAATGCGCGCACAGCACCCCGCAATGACACTGCAGGTTGGCAACCTGCAGGATTTCAATCCTAGATGATGCCCAGCAATCATGCGAATGATGCTGGCAACGCTCGCGCAGCACCCCGCAATGACCCTGCAGGCTGGCAACCTCATGCTGAATTGGCAGCAGGGCATAACCAGCATCACTCGCATCATTGCTTTGCAGCATCTAAGCTTGAAATTCTGCAGCATTGCCGTAATGTCCCTGCAGGTTGGAAACCTGCAGGATTTCCAGCCCAGATGCTGCCATGCCCGCGCAGCACCCCGCAATGACCCTGCAGGTTGGCAACCTGCAGAATTTCAAGCCGAGATGCTGCCAAGCAAATCGTGCGAATGATGCTGGTGATGCCCGCGCGGCACCTTGCAATGACCCTGCAGGTTGTGCCAATGATGCTGGACCATGCAATGGTCAAGCCTAGATGCTGCCCAGCAATCATTCGAATGATGCTGGTTATGCCCGCGCAGCAGGTCGCAACGACCTGGCAGGTTGGCAAACTGCAGGATGTCAAGCCTAGATGCTTCCGAGCAATCATGCGAATGATGCTGGCAATGCGCGCACAGCACCCCGCAATGACACTGCAGGTTGGCAACCTGCAGGATTTCAATCCTAGATGATGCCCAGCAATCATGCGAATGATGCTGGCAACGCTCGCGCAGCACCCCGCAATGACCCTGCAGGTTGGCAACCTGCAAGATTTCAATTTTAGATGCTGCCGAGCAATCATGCGAATGATGCTGGCAACGCTCGCGCAGCACCCCGCAATGACTCTGCAGGTTGGTAACCTGCAAGATTTCAATCCTAGATGCTGCCGAGCAATCATGAGAATCATGCTAGTGATGCCTGCGCAGCACCCCGCAATGACCCTGCAGGCAACCTGCAGGATTTCAAGCCTAGATGCTGCCCAGCGATCATGCCAATGATGCTGGTGATGCCGGCGCAGCACCCCACAATAACCCTGCAGCCGCAAAGCAAGAGGCACGCAATTCTGGAGGAGGTGTTCCTAGAGGTAGGCATGTTGAACAACCCCGGAGAAGTCTTGTGTTCAAAAGAGTACTCAGTCTGAAATCAACCTTTGCGCTAGTTTTCTCCTTGTGCTTCCCCGTAATTTGCAGGTGGTCAAATGTTCCTTGGCTGGTTTGCCAGGAGCTGCCAGAACCTGCCAAGGCAGGATGCGCCTGCGAGTTCCAAACGCGTTTGCGCAAATGTAGTTATCCTTGTGGTGATCCGCAAAGGGGCAGTCTGGAGGAGTTTGTATGTTCCATAGGCGTTTCAACATGAAGTTGCGTTCAAGGGCTTGCGCCTCACAAAGATGGTGTTCATGCTTGTTCCTTGCTCATTTGAGCAACAGTGCTTGCAGAATTTGTGGGACGCAGGTTTCAGAGCGGTTGAGCGACTTTTGTGACGCATTTTTCCTTGGAGACGGTCAACAGCCTGACTCTGGCGGAGAACTAGTCGGCAGCGGGACAAGCTTTGAAAGCGTCACGTATTGGTTCTCATGTTTTGGCGGGGCGGCTTTTCTAGACCTGTCCAATTCAATCCAACTAACTGCGCGCCAGTGATTTTCTCGATGCTAAGGCGGCTTGAGTGCTGAATGAAGTTGCATGCCATATATCATATCTTCATGTGAAGCCGCACATCAACATTGCTGCTGTTCACTGACACCCTTTCAACTTTGCTGGGCAACTAGTACTGCATCGGTTGCCCACTCTTCCACTCTTTGCTTACGCTTTTCACCTGTTGCCTTTTTGGGGTTCCTTCAGACCTCGGGTTTTCTAACGCATTTTTTGCGCCTTGCAGGCAGCGGAGGAGGATGACAGCAGTCACTGGAGTGCATTTGGCTGTGGCTGTCAAAACTACTGGGATCCCATTTTGGGGTAGGTGAATTCACCACCGATTTTAGAACCTATTTTAGTGGGGATTGGGATGTTCACTGGGGGTACGTTTTGGATTTTGACCCATGGCCATTTCATCAAAGGGGAAGGCGCATGCTCCCCCCCAACATCTTCAGGCCAGCCACCTTTCCGTGTGTGAAAAGAGGTGATGGATATCCAGGATCTTCACTGGTTCAGGGCATGTGTTTGTGGGCTCGAAAAGCGGTGATGGAGATCAGAGTGCCCCTCATTGTCCCAACTTGTCAGCACACCTTGGTGTGATCGAAAAGAGGTGATGGACATCAGAGTTCCCCCTCAACGTCCCAACATGTTCAAGGCAACTATTTTGATGTGCTCAAAAAGTGGTGATGGAATCAGAGTTCCCCGCATTGTCCCAAACACAGTCAGGGCAAACACTTTGACGTGCTGAAAACAAGGTGATGGACATCAGGTTTGCCTTAGCTGGCCATTAGTTTCCAGGTTATCTGAGCTGCGAAGGGTTGGGTTTTGCGGTTGCAGAAGCAGGCTTTCTTCAGAAGGCTGGCGGCACATGTCCTGCCCCAAGTCGCCCAGGTGATGAGGATAGCATTCATGCAGCCAAGAAGCAGGCGGCCAAAGATTTGGTGAAGAAGCTACAAGAGAAGCAGAGAAAAAAGGACCGCGGGAGAGACATCTTCAACGCTGTGCTTTGTTCAGTGATGCAGCCCGCAGGAGGAGGAAAAGGAAGCTGAGGCTGAGGCCGAAAAGGCGTCTGCCAAGAAGGACCTGAGGGCCACTTGCTCGGTGTGGCTGGGAGTTTTAATGGGGACCCTTTGGTGGACATCAGAATTCGGTGGGAATTCACGTCCACCAACCACTTTGGAGGCGGTTCCCTACCAAAGTTCATGGCCATGTCACGGGCCCAAAGCTTGATACATACTGTGTTATGCTTGACTCAACATGCTAGTAGGACGAGTCGGATGACTCTTCTGATAGCGATGCAAAGCCGAAGAAGAAGCCTGCAAAGACTGACAAAAAGTCCGATGATTCGGATGACAGCGACGACAAAAAGAAGACGGCTGCGACAAAGAAAAGGGCCTCTTCTTCCGACAGTGGCGACAACAAGAAGAAGGCAGCGGCCAAGAAAAGGGCCTCATCTGCTGACAGTGGTGACAAAAAGAAGAAGGCGGCGGCCAAGAAAAGGGCCCCCTCTTCTGACAGCGATGCCAAGAAGAAAAAGGTTGTGGCCAAGCAAAGGGCATCCTCGTCTGACAGCGATGCAAAGAAGAAAAAAGTTGTGGCCAAGAAACGGGCTTCCTCATCGGATGCTGGCACCAAGCGCAAGAAAGCTGGCTCAGAGAGCGATGCTCCCAAGAAACGACGTCAGTCTGCTTCTTCGAAGGGACGTAGCAAGAGCCGAAGGAAAAGCCACTTAGCTGCAAAGTGAATTTAAATTGTTAAGACTTTGGAGCCCATGCGTGTGACCATTTCCAGGGAGTCCACATGTCAGTTCATTCCCGTATCATACCTATCCTTGAGGGAACGGATGGAAAGACAGGGTCCTGCTCTGGCTCGCTCTTTTGCCACCTACCCACCGCACGCGCACTCGCACACCCACACACAGAATCACACAGACATAGACACAGCCACACGCAGACGTACACGCACGCACGCAGCCGACACACACCCCCCCCCCCCCCCCCCCCGCGTGTGCCTGGCGCATACGCAGGCAGAGGCACAGGTACAGACACACGGATGAGCCCTCAGGTTTGCTCATTGCATGAACTTGGTGGGAGTTCAAAGTATATTTTTGTTGAGGTGTTTAAACAAAAAGTCGCAAAGCGGCCCTCTGCCTTGCAAAGGCATGATTACCCAAGGCACACACACACACACGAACACACCATGTGCATTTCCAGCTTGTTCATGGCTGAGGCCGCAGCCGGCGCCGCAGCCGCCGGAACCGCAGCCGGAAGCGCAGCCGAAGCCATCGGAAGAAGCGCAGCCGCAGCCATCGGAAGAAGCGGAGCCGCAGCCATCGCAGCCGCAAGCGCAGCGCGCGCAGGAACCGGAGCCGCAGCCGGCGCCGGCGCAGCAGGCGGGGCGCGGCTGAAACAAAACATCCCCGAGCCCTGAGAGTATATTATGGAATCTGGGAAGGGGGATTCTGACCTTAGGATTCCAGCTGTAGTCAGTATAGTTCCATGTTTGCTTTGGTGCTTGCCAAATCCCGACCTGTCCAGCTTCATTTATTTTGAGCACCCTGACAAGGTCAAATGCTTCTCCAGGAGCAACACGTGTCTCAAAACATGTTGTCAAAGTATGCGGTGGGTATGGGTCAAAATTAAACCACCAGGGGACCGCAGGTGTTGGTCCATGTTTCCACTTAGAAGGATTCCATTTGGGGTACCTATTTCCGCAGCCAGGTGACCTATCTGGAAGTGGTCCAAGATCAGCCATTTAGCTAAAGCAAGCTCAGTTTGATTCGGTGGGCGTGGCCCGCTGGTGCCAGGAGCGAGAAGCGGAAATCCCCCCGGCGCAGCCCTCCAAAGCAGGAGGAGAAGCCGAAAGAGCGCGCAAAGAGCGCGAGCAAGGAGAAAGCCAGAAACTTGGGTGCTATTTGCCTGCATCTTTTGTCTTTGAAATGTATTGGTTAAACACATGGCTGTGGTTGTCAAAACCGTTTTGGGATCCCCTTTTGGCAGGGTAGGTGAATTCACCACCCATTTGAGAACTTATTTTCTGTGGGGATTGAATCGGATGCTCACTGCGGGTATTGGGTTTTGAAAAGCCCATGGCCGCATCCCTGCGCCGCGAAGTTTTCAGCCCAACTGGGTGTGGGTCAAAACTAAAATGCAACCCCGAAATGGCAATTGCCCCGTAAGTGGAATTTCGGGAGTGGGATGCTCACGGGTACGACTTGGGGTTTTTGGAGAAGCCCATGGGAAATTTGGGGCCCCTCACCCAGCCAAAAACGGCCCCACTTTTTTCGCGCCCCGTTCGACAAGGAAAGGACTCGGACTCCGAGTCCGAGAAGCCGAAGGAGCCGAGGGAGAAGGAGCAGCCCGAGGAGCCGAAGGAGAAGACTGAGGTGGAGGATTATTTGAAAGAACCGGTGGAGACTCGGCCCAAATTCCTCAAACTCCTTTTCACCCTACTTTCTCAGTTTTTTTGGCTTAAGCCACTAGTCAAGATCCCAAAGTAACCTTTTACCCCGGGTCCTTTGGGCTGAGGATAAGATCGTGGGCTCGGAGGACAAGAAGAAGTCGGAGGACGAGAAGTCCACCCAGAAGTCCGCCATTGTGAACCCCTTCCATGCGCGGCTGATTGCCAAGCATCAGCAAGAGGCTGTGGAGAAGGCGAAGCAGGAGGTCGAAGCCAAAGCCAAAGCGCAGGCTGCGCTTCGGCTGGAATTCGAGAACAGCTGTTTCCGGTGTTTGTTTTTTTTGCTCTGCCAATGCTGGCTATGTTTGGTGTAGTGGTTTTCGCTTCGCAAGTTTGCAGCCTTTGATTCATTCATGATATTCATTCGCATTGGGCCGTGTTTTTTTTCTCCACGCACACATACTTCCCGCTTGGCGCGCATGGTCCGCCCGGCGCCCAGGAAGCCGAAGCCAAGGCCAAGGCAGATGAGGCGCAAGGCCAGGCGCCTTTGGCCGCCCTCGGCCCACTGGGACCTCCGCCTGTGGCGCCTGGCGTGCCAGGTGCGCCAGGTGCGCCACAGGCGGTGCCCGGCGCGCCGCCCGGCGCGCCGCTCGCGCCCGGCGCTCCGGGCGCGGCCAGCTGGCCGCCGGGTACGACTGAGGATGGCAAGGTGGAGGCCAAGCCACGGAGCGTGAGCAAGGATGAGCCCAGACAAGGCCAGAGCCAATGTTGCCACAGCGCATCGCAGGTTTGAATTTGTCAGATTCCTCCAACCTTAGGAATAAACAGTATCCTGAATGGACCGCTTGTAAGGAGTTGATGTTCCCTCTAAACCCAAGTGGTTGACAAGGACATAAAGTGGTTTGACTCCTTTGGAGTAATCTTCCCAGGGTGCTCGGTTTGAAGAAGTTTGCAGTTATTATTTGGAGAAGTACGGGAACTGTATTGATTCCTTTTCATTCCTAGTGTTATCAATATTCTTAAGATTGTGGTTCATTCCTATGTTTAGCTTTCAAGATCCACAAATTGTGGCAGCTGAGTGGAAAGCGATGGATGGCGAAATCCGCCAAAAAGAAGGGCACAGATCCATCCCTCCATTTTCCTCGAGTGATATGAACTTAAGATTGAGCGCCAGGCATTGGCGCAGAGCTGGCCGGCACAGCCATCCATGCAGTTCTCACTTGCGTGTACGCGTGCGTGTGCGTTTGTCGAGGCTACCTGTTTCACCTTGGTTTAGAGGCAGACGAAGACGAAATTACTACGAGGGCCCCCTTTTTTTGACACACCACTTTGTCAATGTTGAATCCTTCTCATGCCTTGCGCGCTTAGACTCAGGCTGCTATCGAGCTTTTGGGTGTAGGAGGTGCCAGGCGACTTGCACGCACATCTCGTTTTGTAAATATGCTTGTGTGTGTGTGATCTTTGAGGGCACCCTGTTGACTGTGGTTTAAAGGGAAAGGGGCACGCATGCAAAACTACGCACTTTGGGAGTTGCCAAACTTCCCCCCCCCCCCGTATGGTTGGCTTGAATCTCGCCGACGTTGGGTTTCTGCAACCGGATTCCCTTACCCCTCAATTCTTCACCCTATTTGTATTCTCGTAATGGTCAATCCACTCTTGGTGAAATCTTGAAGCTGGATTCTCAACCCCAAATGGATTCGCCCTACAGATGGGGCTTCCCGTAAACATCTCGAAACTGGATTCTCAACCAAACACATCGTTTCCCGCTCACCCAACCTTCGCCCCTCCCACCGCGACAGTCGGAGCCATCGGCTCCTTCCGGAAGGCATCTCGGGCGCCACGGCGAAGGCGGCGTCACGGCCCCCGCAGAGTTTGGAGCAGGCGCAGGCGGGTGCCGTGAGCGGCCCGGCGAGGAAACTCGGGGCGCTTGCTGGGCGCATGGGAGCTTTTGGGCTTGGGGGTCGCCGAGTTCGTTTTTGTTTGTTTGTTTTTGTTCTTCTTCTTCTTCTTCTTCTTCTTCTTCTTCTTCTTAAAAAAGAGGTGCCCGGAATTCTAATCCAGTCCCTCATGTCGTTTTGCTAGTAGAGGATTTTGTTCGTCGGATCTTTGGCTTCTTGGGTCGCCGATGTTTTTTTTTGTTTAAATGGGGTGCCTGGAAGTCTTATATCCAGCCCCCTATATCTTGTTGACGAATGTTTGAAAAGGGGGAGCTGCTCTGAGGCAATGCGAGCATGATGATGGGCCAGATGCCCGGCATGATGGGCATCTTGGCCTCACTTGCTTGCTAGTTGGGCTTGTCAGAGTCACCGGCCCCAAAATGATCGGTTTCCTTTTGGCTTTGATTTAAGATCAACCAAAACACACCTCCCCAAACAAGACACTGGCTGGCCAGCAAACGCATTTGCATTCACACCCGCCAGAAAGAATCTGAAGGAAAGGGGGCTGAGTTGCTAAGTGTAAGCAGAAGCTTTGGGAGCACTTCGATCGAGTGGATTCAAAATGCGCTGCGCCGAGGTATGGACATGATGGGCATGGCTGGTATGGGGATGCAAGGCATGGGAATGTATGGCATGTACGGCATGGGCTATGAGTCTCAGCTGCACTTTGTGCTCTCCTTCTGTGACTGCCTCTTGTTTTTGACGTGCTGGACATTGCTTGAACATTATGAAGAAGTTCCTTTGGGGCAACCAGTCGTGTGTCATGATGTCTGACACATGTGTTTTTTCTTTTGGCGATCGCGTTTGCCTTCAGCCCTGGTTATGTTTGGTCTTGACATGCAATCTGGGAATGGACAAACCTGCATGTCTATGCTACTTCCAGGGAGTATCGGATTGTCTTTATTGCGCTTGCCACTTCTTAGCTGTACTTTGTGTCGGCTTCCCTAGTTTCTTGGGTCAGCTTCCCCTTGATTGCTTCCCTTTCTTCCCTTGGGAGGAAGAGGGGCAACAACTGCCAACCACGCAAGCCACTAATTCGCAATGCAAGTAGCCATTGCACAGGCCTGAGGGGGAACAAACATGATTCAACATGTTCAATGATTGTCATGCCACAGTTTTTTGTCATGGAAGCATGCGGTCATACATTACCCGCCCCTCAACGGCCCCAAAGTAGCCTCGTTTGGGCGTCACTTAGAAACATGTGATAGCCGTGGGGGGTTTTACAGGCTCATACTGCCGTCGCTTTGTCTGACTCAGCACCAGGACATGATGGGCATGGCCAACCCCATGATGGGCATGGACGCGCAAACCCTCGCAGCGGCCCAGGCGGCGCAGGCGGCGCAGGCGGGAACGAGAGGGTTCCTCTTTTCCACCGGGAAACAACCACGGTCGGAGTGCGCTGAATCTTGTTGAGTATTTGAAGGCAACTCTATAATTTCACAATTGGCTTTGCCCATGAGCATTTTGCCTGTTTTCGCCTGGTGGCATAACTTGTTAAGTTTGTAGGTCGGTGGATGCCCTTAGTTAGTGCCGTGTGAATATGTTGGGACGACTCAACTCCATCATACTCCATGTATAAGTCTGGACGGAATTCGATGCTTCTTCCCCCAAAGGCAAGATTCTGTGAGGTGTTGTGGCTGCTTCTCTTTGGGGGTGATAATTCAGCCATCACATATATATATATATATAACATGGGTGGCTTTGAAATTATTTAAGTTAGGGAACCACGTTTATGAGTAATCTTAAAGGGTACCAGGAATCCTCGGGAGGTTCCTAATCCAGAGACACATGAATGCTCCAAAAGTTTCACTTCTTGGAACCCCGAGCCCTTTGACTGGAGGCAAAACTCCAGGAGTTTATGTTGCCCTTGGTGCACCTGGGACCCTCATCCATGTTGGGATGGTATTTCAACCAGTTGGATTTGGACACGGTGGCATATGATCAACGGACTATTTTAATTGAATACCGGTTTTGGGGTAGAGCAATGTCGGGTTTGCAGGTTGATAAGTATTGTTTGTTGGGGGTGTATATTGCCGGGAAATCTAACTTGGGTGTGTCCAAAAAATAGAGGGACCTCCCAAAGTGGGCGGCGTCCCTTTGGCTTTCCTCCAAACCAACCCAAAAAAAGGGGTCACCCTCAGACTGATGGACGAAATCCACTTCGCACCATGAGATGGATGCATCCCAAATGGTACACACTCCCACCCTTTTCACATGCAACCTGACGTTCGGGACCCGGTCCCTTAAAAAGGGAAATGGTCCAAACCACGACCCCCCCCCCCCGAACGTCAGGTTCCATTTGAAAGGGGTGGGAGGCTAACTGCTGAAAACTTTGCGGAGCAAAAGTCCGTGACAGGCGATGCCTCAGGCCAACGCTTACAAGGCCTCGGGCCCCTGGGTAAGTGACCGCTGTGTTTCTAGTTTTGGCTTGTGACACCTGTTTCTGCGGATTATTTAACTTTGCAACCTGGGACTCCATCCGTGTTTGGAGTTCCCGGTTTCAAAGCAAAGAACTCCACATGGGCACAGCTGAACTCCGCATGTGGGGCATGCAGAACTGGGATCAAGTTCTGAGTCGCTGCCAGCTTATGAGTATCAGTTTTGGCCCCAGCTTTGGAGCCCCGGAGTCCTCAGTGACGTGGAAACCAAACGAATGGCCCTTCTTTGGCTCGGCACGGCGTCCCAGCTGCCCTGAGGTGAGAATGGCATGTTAGGGCTCGGTCCAGGCACTGGGTAGTCCTACAGGGTGTGCGCCCTGACTATCGTTGTGAGAATTTTCGATTTTTTGTATACCAATGGACGCAATTGGTGTTAGATATATGAGGTAAGTGTGTACATAGTTGCCTGGAAAAGATGATACATTCAAAGAGAACTCCTACACTTCTGGACGCCATGTGGAACTTGTGCGAAGCCACCTGTTTCCGAGTCTTACCCGCCATCGGCCGGTTCAATCTATTGTTTCTAGGAGGTATTGTCCCAGCATGACCCCTGGGGCCCAAAAGATAGAACATATTGTAAGGGTTGCTTTTTGTTCGCATTCTTTCCAACCGGATTCTTTTCAAAATACCAGCCGTTTCCCACGAGGGTTCCCAATTTCCGCTAGTCAAGTCTTCCCACAAGCAGACATGAAACCATACAATATATCCCATGGGCACCCCGCTCATGTTTGAACGGGAGGATTTGTCAAAAGAGGACCCTTTCTGCTCAAAGCACACGATGGAAGTTTAGCTTTCAATGCTTGCTTGAAGGTCATTCTGTAGTAGATGAATTACTCAAGACTTTATGTTATGCTACGTGTTGGCAAGTGCGAGTTGCTTTCCTCTGATGCCTCGCTGCAGAACAGGTCAGCAAGCAATGACGGGAGCAAGAATAAACAAATTCCACACTGCCAGCTATGGATCAAGAATGACAGCTGCATTCCCCTTTCAAGCGGTTGCTAGCCAAAGGTGGCTAAACCGACTAAACCTGGCCCCGCTTTCCGCCCTGTTCAGCTCTTGCCGTTGCCCCGTTGCCGCGTGCGGCAAACGTTTTTGAAGGAAGCCATTGTCACTTTCCCCTCCCCAAGGCGCCATGTTTGCCATCCTGTAGCCCAAGGATGTGGCTTTAAATGCACTCGTATCGCATGTACCGAAATTTTGCGGAGCTCCGCAAAGATTTAGTGCGACCCGCCACTCGTCAGGCGGCCGGCGGCGTGCCACCTCCTCCGCCGCCGCCGCCATTGACTGGCGCCTCTGATTGCAGTGGCAAAGGTCTGATCATATTATCCGTTGAACCCAGCCTATGAGATTTGTTGTACTCAAGGCGATAGGCGCGCGGAGACGTCTCCAGGTCTGTTTGCTACAGGGTGGACAGTTGTTAACTGTGAAAACCAAGACGAAATCCCGTTTTGTAGGGTCCCCCGCGAAAAACCTCGTCGGGACCCGTGTCACATCATGGTTCCATATCCTTGGGTTGTTCTATGTCCTTGGGTTGCTATGGCTCATATTTTGAGAAAGGGGAAAGACTTGGGAATCCAACGAAGCAGTTGGAGTGTACTTTTTTGGGGTGGCTTTGCCACTTCGAGGGCAGCATGTTGGTGACTTTTGCAGTCCATGCGCTTTGCTTTCTTGCGATGAGTGACCCTTCCCCTTTTCGGAAAGCAACGCAGTCCTCCCCTGTCGCGCCACATGTGAGCCAACAACTTCGCAACAGCACTCGCCAGAGCTTCGTCAAGCTGCGTTCCCCCCACCTCAATGGTGAAGTCAGACCCTTGCTCGAGTACCCTGTAGTTGGTGGTTTGGATTGGTGTTTTGGGGATTTGAACCCTTGCTTCTTCTAGAGGGTAAATCGGAAACCCCTCCTCGACAGTTGAAGTCTCTTGAAGCCGCTCAAACGGACGGAACTTGAGCCAGTACTTGCAGCATTAGGCCTTTGGCCTTTTGGACAATTCCCAGCCAGGTGTTGGTCAAAAATGTCAGAATGTCATAAACTCGGGTTTGGATGGTTCGAAAAACAAACATCTGTAACATCGCATCTAGGTAGGTTCCCCGTTTGTCTTGGTTTATCGACGGAGCTGTGCGAACGGCCTCGTCCCACCATGGATCGTAGTGGATGCTGGTGGGGTTCCCGTGTTCACTTCTATAAGACAAGCAAGTCATGGAAATCCCACGTCTCGGGGTTTGGGTACCTTGTTCCCAACATGGAAGTACGCAGTAAGGTTGTTGAAGACAACCATCATTTTCAATAGTTCCCTGAATCCTCTTCAAGACCTCTATTCCGCAAAAAATGTCACAGAAAAACGCACCCGATCTGGATGTTGAGTAGCCACAGTCCTTTGTTTGCATTCCCAAAAGTGAACCCAAAGGGGATGCTTTGTTTCTCGTCAGTTTTCCCCAAGCGGTACCCTCCGACCGAACATGGAAGTGCCTTCGGACCCCTATAGAAAGACAACTTTCCTTTTGGACCTGGGGTTGGTGCACTTCCATGGAATCGTCGGTGGGAGGGTACCTTGGCGTTGAGAAAGCCGCGTGTTAAAGCCGGCATCGGCTACCCCAGGCTAGGACATGGCGAAGCTTCCGCGCCTTTTCGGCAGAGGTTGACTGGGTGCAAACACCCCAGGGGTTTAGGCTTGGGTGGGCTCGCTTTTGTATGGGCTTCTGGGCTCTAAGCCATGTAGAGACTCAGGGGGTTGGCCACCGCTTGAGGCTTGAGGGTCCCAAGTTGAGAGGAGAAGCTCTGAGTGGATGCATTGAGTTGATAAAAAACCCTACCATTTTTTTAATGGAACCTGGCGTTCGGGGGGGGTGGTTCCTTATGTTGTTGTTCCATGGACTAAGCTTGCATAGGCGAACTTAGCTTCCTGGTGTTATACAGGAAGAATTCGTTCCCTACACGGTATGCCTATACCCCGGGTTCATGTACACTTGCATGTGGGAACGAAAAAGTGAAGCCATCAAGGCTGCAATCGGTGCATGTGTGACATGTGTGCGTGTGTATGTGCCCCAGCCTAGTGTGCGTTGTCAATGTGTTTTTCAAGCTTTGGTTGTGTATTGTTGCTTTGCCTAAAGGCACAACTGTACCTGGCTTGATCTTATAGGTTGCCCAAATACTGCAGCAGAAACATTGTTGGTACCTACTGGGACCCCCATAGTGGATGGTCAGCACTTTGTATTGAGGTGATGTTGGTACCCAGAATGGTTTGTGCACGAACTAGAACGCCAGGTTTTAAATAAGCGCGCCCATGAAAAGCTTGTTCTTCCTTATTTCCGGCTGGGAGTAGAAATTCGGTTGTGAGCAAGGTTTGGGAGGGCCACCTTAGTCGGGATCTGGGAATTGGAATGGGGGTACTGGGAAACCCTCCTTTTTTCGGCCATCAACATGCTGCAGCGATGATGTTCTCCCTCTCTCAGCTTTGGCTGAGAGTTCAGCGAGCCAAGGGCTCAGACAGATTCGCCCTGTGTCCCGAGGTAAGATCAACGGTACCCGACCGGCGCTTGAGTGAGGGAGCTGCGGCTTTCGCCACGTGAGCACATGGGGCTCGTCTTTGGAGCTGGTTTGGTTTTTGGGTAGCCTTTTCACCGGGAAATCCCACACATTGGAAATCCCACACATTTCGGGGTTCCCCGTTTGATGGGTTTCTTGTGAAGCTTTGGATGCCAAAGGGACAACCACAGTCCGAGCCCGGCATTTGAGCCCCTGCGATCCGACGCTGAGTGTATCAAGGATGCGGGCTGCCCTACTTGGGAAGCTAACGAATCTAAAAGCTCACACTTGAACCTTTTGGCTTATTCCCCTGTTTGGTCCGTTTTCAGGCAACCAACGGGCAAACCTTCAATTTCTCGGTGCATTTGACTAGTGAGAATGCACTTTGACATAGCCCAGCTGTTATTGGCTTTCGACGCGCTCATATGTCTTATGTACGGCATATGTGAGATCAAAGGATGAAAGGGTTTGTTGACAAGAGCCCATTTGAGAACATGGGTAGATGAAGGTTAGTAAGGGACAATCCCAACCATAAGTAGCTGCGGCCGCCTTCTTAATTCTTTACATGGTTCTGGGTCAACCATTGTAATACCGGGTTTTGATTGTGGCTCATTTGCCAATTCCCGGACCGAGTGAGACTGCAGCACTTTGAGCTTCTTGCAGGCAGCCACAAGTCAATGATTCGGGCTGGCTCAGGCTTTGCCCCCATCGGGAGGTAAGCCGCCGGCTGGTTCCAGTCTATCTGGACAGGGCCACAAGCCTGATCTCCTGCGCATTGGGGCAATTGAGCTGCACTTTTGAAATCCGACCATCAACTTGCGTTGCTTGTTCCACGCCGCGATTCGCAGCAAACAGTTTATTCCGGGCTAGTGAGGATATTGCTGCTGCCACTGCGAGGTTTCCGGCTTGTGCCCTTCAGTTGCGAGAGCGGAGCACGGAGGAGAAAGTTAGAATACCGCCATGGGGAGGTTGGTTGAGGTCAAACTCCGCTGGGCGCGAATTCGGACCTGATGTGTTTGATCAACCACTTGGGCAAGCCTTTGCACGCGCGCGCGTGTGGCACCCGTGTTGGGCGAGTTTGGAGGTGAAAGCAATGTTCGAAAAGAAATGGTGAAGGATTTCTTCTACAAAGACCCTAGCTAGAGAAGCTCAGCAGCTGTCACACAACCCCCTTTGAAGATTGAATCGGGTGTCACCCCTGGGATTGCATTTCTTGGTTCCATGGTTTTCAGGAGGACTTGAAAACTGTAACTGGGGCCCAAATCATAACCTTCCCTCTGTAGGTCAGAGGGCCATGTGTATGTTTAGCACATGTCAACTTTTCACCAAACAACATATTTGATTTTGGCAGCACCTGCTTGGATGCTGTGGCAGGTTTCTTGGGTACTTGCTTTGTGCTGACCATTGTTGGATCGCTGTGACTTGTCTTTGCTACTCTGCAGCTCAACATGGAGCCCACACAGAACTATTGCCTGCGTGTGGAAGCCCTGCCCCTTTTGCTTTTGGGCTTCATGAGCAACTGGTCTCCTGATCGTCGCAGTTTCAACGGCCTATCTACGCGGCAAAGGGGACGTTTTTTGTTAGTAGAACAACGGTGGTACAAGGGCCCAAAGAAGCAGAATGGGCTTGTTGGCTAGATAAGAGCCAACCTAACTGATGTCAGGCGCAAGATGAGAGTTCTATGGCCCCTGGTACTTGTTGGCCGGTTGGATGCATATGCTCGGACAGGTGTCCGAATGCCTGCGGGAGCTACACCGAGCTTTGCAGGCCCGAGCCGAAAGGGTGGGTGCGGTGGCTGGAGGCCTGGGGCGTGGGAGCGTCCTGCCCACGCGTGGGCCGGGGAAAGAGCGAAATCCGCGGGATTTTCCGGACATAGACAGGTCATAGTGAGTATTTTGCAGGGATGTCCTTGTCGGCTGCGAGTGGAACATGCCTGCCAAGTTTGAATTTACCCCCAGCCCGTTTTGATTCAGCTATATACTTGCCTTTCATGTGAACCCCCAACCCCACGTGAACTCCAAGAGTCGATGTTCTTCTCACTTGATTTGCGGCTGAAGCCTTCGAGGGCAAAGCAGCCAGGACATCTTCGACTACTGCGCCGATATTCCGGCAGAAGCAACCACCACAGCTCCCGAGGACATGGGGTCAGGTTGTTGGGCATTCGCATCGTAATCCGGACCGCCTACTGTGATTTGAAGGTATCACCAAAGAGAAATCGGGTGGGGACAACAGTTCTTCGGGGTTTATTCCTGGGACGCATCCTTCCTGTCAATTGTGCGTAGCACATGTTCTTTTACCACCAGGAACTCGTCACATTCCCTTTGCAGTCATGGCAAACGAAGCCGCGGCACAGGAGCTCGCCGTTCTGGTCCGCGTCGTCGCCGCTTTCCAGCTCGAGGAGAGGAAACGAGCTTTGAGGGCTTTAGAGGGGGGGATTCATACCCCACTTGTGAAGTAGATGACGCGGTTCCCGCAAATTTTGGTTCAATTAGTCATCCCCTGTGCTTACTCACTTGCCAAATCATTTGGGGCTGTGTCTTTTAAGGTGATATTGCGGTTGGTTGGGGAACCATGGGAAACCAAAGGGAAGCTGCACCACGCCAATGATTTTCCCATTTCTCAGTTGTCCAGCAACCGACCTTTTGACCGTGTTGGTTTTCCCATGTTGCTCCATGTTTAGTCATTGTCCCGCACGGTGAACCTTCCAATTCTGGGTCCCTTGGGCCACTGAAGTCTTGGCGACATGTTGTCGGCGTGTGTTTTTTTACGTGTTGCCCTTCGGGTTGGGTAAGGGAAACCAAAGGGGGAAGTGTACCACCCCGGGGGTCCCATGTGACATCCCCATCCGATAGGACAGCCGGCACTTCGCCTCAGAGTTCCAGAAAGCCCTGACCAAATTTCGGAGGCTCGAGCCTTTGGAGTTCAAGGCAGGGGGGGGGAGCCGGGTTTTGAGACCGGGGCCCCTTTTCAACGCGAAGCGTCGGTTGTGGTTTTTACCAGGGACAGGTCCAATCACTGGGAGTTTTGTTGTGTATTCCTTTTTGTCCGAGAAAGGGTCAAGGTAGTTTGTGTTTGACTTTGGGCACACCTTTAAACAGGGACGCTTAAAGGGACACACCAAAGCTATTCTATGCAGAGCGAGAAATGGCTTAAACCTCATGCAGAGCTGACAACATGTGCAACGGAATCAGAACATGTTATTTACCCCAGATGTGAAGTTTGGGCCAGTTAAAAAGTCGCCTTCACCAGCTACTTTGCAGAATCCCCTTGCCGAGCATTGTCGGATGTATCCTTTTAGGAACCCTGTTGCAGCGGCTCCCAAGCAGGTCCCAAGTTTTGGACACCCCATGGATTCATGAATGCCGGAAGGTTTCTGGGTGAGCGCACATTTCTGCATGAGCGCACATTTCTGCATGCCTCCCAAAAGGAAACCAACAGGGGGTAGATTCTTTTTTAGGCACCCCTGGGTTGCCTCGTGACCGCGAACCTTTGGCAGAATGGATGCTCTAAATTGAATATGCCTCCCGCCAACAAAAACACGCGTTGCGCTTGGTTTTCTACGATTGGAGACTCTTTCTGTTTGCTCGAGTTGGGACAGGAGGTGCCAAAGCTGTCTCCTGGTCACGCAAAGGGATGTTTGATCACGTGCCCTGGAAGGAACCACCTGGGGATAGATTTGCTTCCCCCCCCCCCGGCACCGAACATGGAGCCTGACTGAAGGTTGTGCAGGACGGGTTTCCTCAATAAAGGTATCAATTTGGTATGGTCCATTTTGCGGGATTGTAATTTCTCTAGGCCCCTTTGTTCACCCGCATAGGCGCGGCATCACTGAAACGTGCGCCAGGCGCTGCTGCCGTGCACGGGGCCTCAGCCAATGGACTGGATGGACACTGCCGTAGAGAGAGCTGTCCGTTGAGGCCAGTTTTGGTTGAGCGGTTCCGATGGCTCCGGTTTCAGCTCGTTCTAACAGCGCCATCTAAGTACACAAAGTGCCGCTTGTCAAGTTGGCAGCTGCAGGGTGGGATAGCACATGATCCATACAGTTAATACACCCCAAAGCACCTGGGCGTTTGACATG